CTTTCTTGGTGGGAGTTGAGCTACGAGGAGCAGGAGTTTGGCATCCATGACCCAGCCTTTAGACTCGGGATCTCCTCTGGTCCTGTGGAACACAGGAAGTTCAGCCTAAGCATAAGGAGAAACTTTACAGTGAGGGTACCAGAGCCCTGGACCAGGCTGTCCAGAGTGGTTCAGGTTAGGTTCAGGTTAGAGATAAGGAGGAAGTTCTTTACTGAGAGGGTCGTCAGAAGCTTTTTTTTTGGTGGTGGAGTCACCATCCCTGGATGTATTTAAAGAGCGGGTAGACGAGGTACTTAAGGATATGGTTTAATGGGTAGACAGGAGCGGTTGGACATGATGATCTCAGAGGTCTTTTCCAACCGAGCGATTCTGTGATTCTGTGAGTGGTTGTGGAGTCTCCTTCTCTGGAAACATTCAACCCTGCCTGTACATGTTCCTGTGTGATCTTCTCTGAGTGATCCTGCTCTATCGGGGGGTTGGACTGGGAGATCTTCAGAGGTCCCTTCCAACCCCACCAGTCTGCGATTCTGTGAATTACGGGCTGCTTGTTCTTCCCGTTGTCTTCTAAAGCATCGTGTTCAGTGACCAAGTCTGTTTGCAGTATTACAGAGAGCAGGTATAGCGAACAATAAAATTACTTTTAAGGCTGAAATTGACATTTGCTTTGTTCCCGAGATATTTCCTGTATGGAAAAAGATATTTGCAACTTGCACTAAAATAAGACTTCACATAGGGCAAGAAATATTTCTCTTCAAAGCTGAATTTATGGTCGTGAAATAATTTAAAGAGTTTATTTATTATTTAAAGAGTGAATGGTCACAAATTGGTTTTGACTCTTGCTTTCACAGTATTTTGGGAAACAGATGAAGACTTCACAGTTGTAAAGAGGAGAAATTGCCCATTATCCTACCTTAAACATTATGTTAAATTGGAAGACTGGATAAATTTGTTCCACACAGCTGTCATCTGCCATGAGTTTCTGTTTAGGCTTCAGATATGAGAGGACCCCAAATCAGAGCTTATTATCTGTGGTCAGTGTTATTGGTGGATGTTAATCTTGGATTATTTTACTGACTTAAAGCTGCACATTAAGGTAATAAATTTATTCCCAAATTCACCTATTATACTGCTTCAATCTCAGAAATGTTTCTATAAGTAGCTTTGGCAAAGCATGACTGAATTTCCCATCTAGTTGAGATATTTAAATGCATGGCTCCTTGAAAATGCTCCACTAGCTCATCTACTGAAAAAATGCCTTGAAAGATTAGATTTAAAATGAACATAAGTGATAAGAGACCTAATTTTTACATTTTCACCTTTCAGGTGAATGCATATAAAAATGTGAATAGTTAAAAGTTTTAGAAACAAGACTTAGGGTTTGTTCTTTGCTTTTGCACAGCAGCACTCCCTATGGTTTTCCTACTTGATACTCTGTAGAAATCAGCCAGAAACAACATACTTGAAAACATTGTTTCCTCATTTATGTCTTTATAAAAAGTAGCTTGAAAAATTTACAGTGTACCTTCTAAACAAGAAAAAGTAGCTAATTCTAAGTAGTAGCATAAGTGGTAGCCAAGTCTAAATAGTGCTGAAGAAGTGAGCATTGGAGGTATGATAACTTTGGGGAACAGTAATCTGGTAAAAAAACTCAGTCCTAGTAATCCTGACGCGTAATAAGGAAATTGCTATGATGTCTTGGGCCTTTTATTGGATTTATATTACTGTTCTGATTGTGAATTACTTTATCAGAATAAGAGGTTTGTTTCATATGCTCAGCTACATAGAAAAAAGATCGGTTTCTACTTGGAAATTTGTAAGAGCGTAAACTAGATAAAGGTAAGAGATGAGCTAGATCCAAAAGCATCCTGCTGCAAGAACAACACAAAATTACCAATGGACCTTGTGTTTAGTCAGTTTCTGAGACTAAAATGTATGAATGTATTGAATTGTGGTTACACGTTCCTGTTTTGTAAGTGTATGTGCGAAACAGGCCTAGGTGGGGAAGCTGAGGCTGTTTGCCTGTTTAACCTACAACCTTCTCGTTGTGTTTGGTGCCTCGTCTAATAGGACAGGGCAGTGAGGAATCATGCCTCTATTCACCTTCTGTGTTTCACTGAGGAATTTTGAAAACTCTGTGGTAACCTCACTCAGATGTTCAGGGTGAAGACTTCTGATCTACATGATTGTTTGCATAGAAACTGTTCTCTTATTTTCACCCTCCTATGTACTTTTTATCCTTTATTCTGAATTCTTTTTTAAATGAGAGGACAAGAATTGCAAATAGCATCTAGGATGTGTGCACTTGGATTGATGTAGTGCCATAGCAATTCTGTTTTCTGTTCTTGTAATTATTTCCAGTAGTCAGTTTGTTTTGAGTATTGATGAGCACTGAGCTGAAATTTTCATAAATCTGTCTTTAGTGATCATAAAACCTCATTTCTGAGTGACATAATTGACTTGGAACCTGGTACATGTAAAAACGCATTTGATGCTTCATGGTCGTCATTTCTTTACCACATAGATGATAAAAAGACAGGTGAAAGTCTGTAGTGCAAAATGAGAATTACCAGTTTTAGCAGTCAATGCACAGCTTATTATCAAAAGCTTAACCAGCCAGCAGGCTTCTTCACCTTATTCTGTGCCAATTTTTTCAATCATCTGTGAATGTGTAGTGCAACCCAGGCTTAATTAGCTTGCCAGATGGGACTATGCTAGTTGCCCCTATTCGTTTTGAAGGGGTTTGTGTTCATTTACTCACTTGCTGGCACATTCTCCTTGGCAAATATATGGCAGTTGCCTTTTTTTTTTTCCCATAGCCAGGAAGCTTGTATTCTGCTATTTCACAGCTCTGACCCTTGCCACAGAATGATGCTCTTGAAATACACTGTGGTAGCGTGAGTTTGGAGCCACAGAATTATTTTCGGTTAGGTAACCTAGTTCTTGCAGTTTGAGATGCTGCAGGTAAGTTTCTTAGAAATTGCAGAAAACAAACATAATAAAGGATGCATTTTAAAATATGTGGTTTTTCCTTTAGCTGTGAACTGTTCTTTTACCTGTAGAGGGGGGTGTGTGTGTGTGTATTGTGCTTTACTGACTGACAGTACATTTAATTGTCAAGGTTTGTTTTATTTTCTTCTCTGAATTTCTTATTTGTGCAACATAAAATATGGGCTTTTATTTAGATCTTCTTGAAGTAATTAAATTATAATGGCTTGTATCATTGCTTCTAAATGAGGAAATGCTGCAGGGAACCATGTTGTTTCTGTGAGTTTCAGTTAAAGTGCTTTTGTCAGCGGACTTGGGATAGCAGTGTCAGATCCTGCTCTGTCAGAGACAGTGTTAAAAGAGTTGATTTGAGTTGGCTTGTAAGGTTAAGTTACTTGTATAGAACTGGTGCCTACTACTTTTCTGTATGTGATGTTTCTTAATTCATTATAGGAAGTTTTATTTTAAGCTGCATATAGGTGTTGAAGAAGTGCTCCTTTTGCTTCCTTTTGAATGAGGAAGTAGTTGTAGGGGAAGTCTTTCAGAGTTTTTGCTACTGTGAGGAATGAATATTTGTGGCATGGCTTCTTAAATGGTTTCTTTGTATATAAAGCTTTTACATTCCTCCATTATTATTCATTGTCTTATTTGCCTTTGCAGGAAATGAGTTGATTATCTTTTTGGCTGACCAAAAGGAGCCCTACTTTAAGCCCCGTGTGAAGTTACCGATGAAGTAAGTATTGATATTCAATGGTGAAACAATGGAAGTGGCAGTTTTTCTTGAAAGTGCATCTCTGTGGTCAGAGGCAGCATGTCCTGTCCTTATCTGTTTGGCTGTGTTGTTCAGCTTGCCCTTAGAGCTCCAGTTTTTTGAGCAGTTTCCTGATTAATTTCCTGGTATGTTTTTGTTTTCATTTGTTTGGATTTTGTGAGTCAGATGATAGAATTTTTGGAGCTGAGTTTTGTCATTCATGTTGTTAACTAATAGCTGTGACTTCCCACCCCTTATGAAATTTCTATTCTTTGTTATCTTCCAACTAGCATTAAAAATACCCATATCTTGGAATATTTTTGCAGTTGACTTAGATTTTCAGGACTTTATTTCCTAGTAAAGCAAACTATCATCCATAACATAGATGGATGATTAAGTCTTTTTGGCAGGTAGTATTAGTCTCTGTCCCAAGATATGTTTTCAGGGAAATTCTTCTAGTTGCTGTAGTTACTAGTGGAATACAGTCAATATCATCTGCTTTTTAAAGAGATGTATAGAATGGTATTCTGGTATTTCTGTGAGGAGATCTGTTCCTTTCTAAAGTTTAAAGTGGCTTTAAAAAAATAGCATCAAATTTTAATTCTTTATGTACGTACATATGTATAGTTTTAACCATAATAGTATTACAGGATATGTTATTGCTTGTGAATAATAATGGTTACTAATAGTATTATGTATTATGCTGTTATAACTCAGCTTCATCTTCTATCATTCTATATATTTATATTTTTCCTTATTCCCTCCTATCTTGGAAGGAGCTAATTTGTTTAGTTCATTAGAAATTATCTGCTTTTAATTCTTAACGGAATGATCTATGTTTGTGTAAAGCAGAGTCTCTCAGTAGGTAACCAACTAAAAAAAAAAGGATAGAAAGAACAAACAAATGTAGGAAGAAGTGGTAAGATGTGGCAGAAGATGAGCAGAGATGACATTGCCTTTAAAAAGATTGAGCTATCTGTCTGACTCCTGCTACTTAAACTGCTCCTATTGCTTTATGGTCTTGCTTTTGGAATGCAAACAAAAGATTCTGCTTTCTGAAACACATTTTTTGAGGACTGGTTCTACAATAAGTGAAGGCATTTAATGAAGTCTAGATAGCATTAACAAACAGGCTATGGCTGAAGATTTTAGAGCTTCAAGTTACCTTTGTAATAGATAAGGACTTTGAAAAAATCCAGTTTGTTGAAGGAAAATAGTGTATTGGACCAATTAATAATAAGTGGGAGAAAAAGGCAAGCCTTTAAACACACGAGTACTTCCAGTTTTCATGGATACATTTGTACAGTTATTTGCATGTGTAGTTTTTCTGTTTGTTTTTAATTCTAGATCTCTCAGTGTTACCATAACTAGTGTAGTTCCTGGAGATTATGATGGTGATTCACAAATGGATGTCCTCTTGACCACCCAGACACAAAATCGTGGCAGAGATGGACTTTCAGTGTTCATTTTCTGGGGACACAACCAAACATTAGGTGAGTTGCTGAGACTGTTTATGAAAAAGATTGCTGAGCTTTTTAAGAATTTAAAGTACTGTCAGAAAGTTAAAGTTAAGTGATTGTTTTTACAACTAAAATAGGAGTTAGCAGCTATTCAGCTTCCTACCCTTATACTGTCTTGCTGTTAAACTGTATTCAATAATTAATGAAAGAGAACAAAGCTAAACCTCTTGCTTTATATCATGCAACAGACATAACCAAACAATGTTACAGTTTGACAATAACCTTCTAACTGATGATCTGCTTCTCATGACTTCCCCATTATGCATGTCAGATTTATCTTGAATTTAAAATGTGCTGAGAACCTGGTGTATAAACTTTCAAAAATATCGTACCTAAACTTACCAACAGCAATATAACATTCTTATTTCTGTTAAACCAAAATTCTTTAAGGACAGTGGCACTGAAGTAGGTTTTGGGAGAGAGGTTTCTAGAGTCTCTATGATTGGAAGTTTTCAAAAACTTTAGAATTGAGTCTTTCAGTGGTGTTGTAGGTACAGCTGATTCTGTCTTAGGGTGGAGTCTTGGACTGTGTGAACTCTTGAAGTCGTCTCTGTTTTCTGTTGACTGAAAAGGGTTTTGGGAAGAGTTTAGGGTTCGAAGAAGAACAAAAAAGCAAAAGAATCACAGAATGGTCAGAGTTGGAAGGCATCTCTGTAGATCATCCAGTCCACCCCTCCGGCTAAAGCAGGTTCTCCCTGCAGTAGGTTGCACAGAATAGTGTCCAGGTAGGTTTTGAATGCCTCTAGAGAAGGAGACTCCACAGCCTCCTGGGCAGCCTGGTCCAGTGCTGTCACCCTCACAGTAAAGAAGTTTTTCCTCACATTGAGCTAGAACTCCCTGTGCTCCAGTTTTGCCCATTGCCCCTAGTCCTGTCTCTGGGCACCACTGAAAAGAGCCTGGCCGTTTCTATTGACACTCACTCTTTAAATGTTTGTGAGCATTGATAAGATTCCCCTCTCAAGTCTTCTCCACACTAAGCAGACCCAGCTCTCTCAGCCTTTCATCATAAGAGAGATGCTCCATTCCCCTAATCATCTTCATAGCCCCCCGCTGGACTCTCTCCAGAAGTTCCATGTCTTTCTTGAATTGGGGAGCCCAGAACTGGACACTGTACAGATGTGGCTTCTGTAGGGCAGAGTAGAGGATAGATACTCATAAGTCCAGAAAAGCTGCTGAGGAATAATCATTATTATAATCTGTGTCATAAAATTGTTATAGGTGAGGCAAGTGATGGCCTTAGATACCATTGCTTCTGGCTTTAAACAGAGGTGAAATGAGCTACTTGGAACCATGCACTGGATCAAGTATTAAGAGAATAGGAGGTATCTATAGTATTGGGAAGAACACAAGGGATTTGTATTAATTTATTCTGTCTTGCTTCTGAATAAACAAGTATTGGGAGAGGCATGAATGAACATATGGGCCTCTGAAAAGGAGTCAGAGGTTAAAAATTCAGAAAATGGTTGGTATGTAGTGAGGCTACTAGGAAGGTATGTGGTGCCTACTTGGGTAATGGAAGTGTGACAAGTCAATAGGAGGGTAATGTCATAAAATGTGAAGACTGGAAAGAAGACAAACATTATGGAGAGATGTAAAAATCAGGGATGATGTGGCAAGGAGTTTGGATTACAAGTGAAAGAGAAGTCTGAGAGGTGATAACCTGATTATGACTTACGACTCCCTTCCCATTTAGGCAGTCTACTTCTAATCTAATTTCAAACAGTGTGTATGGGTAAGAATGTTTTGACAGTGACAAAGCACTAAACAGAGGTCTTTTGTACAAATGTTAATTTTTTAGACTGTCTTCATCCCAACTATTTCAGATTTTGTATGATTGCAGTCATACATAGAAATAGGCTTCACTGGGATCTATTTAGAATAACTTGTTGAATAGTGGAAAGAGAAGAAGGTTCAGAATTTTAACTGTAACTCGCCTTTCCTGCATAATTTCAGGAAGCCATTTATTTGTTTAAGCTCAGTGGTGGCTTTTTTTTATTCATAAAGTTGATGGTTTTAAATTAGTAGAAGATGTCTAAGTTAAAAATGTAAATGTCCTAACATTGGTAACTGAAACAAATGAAAATTTTCTGTTTTCAGATCTTAACCATAAAACTATGTTAAATAATACTTTTCATGATGAGCCTCTGGTTATGGAGTAAGTATGACCTACTTTTTTAGAAAACGACATTTCTAATGGTGACTTTAAAATATACTTTAAAATATATTTTAATGCTAAAATTTGAAACACATGCTCTTTATCTTTTAAGAGCAGCGTTGTTTGTGTACTGTCAACTGATCTAACAAAAAATGACAAAGCATAACAGTCATCTCTACAAATCTTTTCTATCATCCTGGCAATAGTAACTAAATAAGCTTTTTTAAAAGAAATCAGAACTCTGTTTTATGCAGAAAAAGAGCATTCATTTTTTGGTGAATTTTGAAAAAGAAACACGAAAAACCAAAACAAACCTTACTAGCTTATTAGACTGAGCAAATATCCCTTTCACAGTGCACTGCACTTACCTCTAAGTTAAATGCTGAAGAGAGGGGGGGGAGCCAAATGCACGGCATGGTGTAAAATATTGAAAGAAGCATACTACTGGTAGCAGTCCAGAGAGGAGCAAAAATGCAGAGAGACTGCACAGACGAAAATTCTTCATTGCTTGGTGGGAAAATGCTGATCAAATACAGGTTAATTAAGAACAGTTAATTTAGATACCTACAATGACTAAGGTGATACTAAAATTGTTTTGCATTTTCAGCTTTAATGGAGACTTGATCCCTGACATCTTTGGTGTCACAAGCGATTCAGTTAAACCACAGATATGGATAGGCGGGTAAGCTAAGGGTTTGTTTATTGGCATGATTTTCAATAACTTATTCATTATACATCCACTTTTGCTTTTATTAAAGACACATAAGGCTCATGTTTAACTGAAATGTGTAAACATAAGAATCTTCTCTCATTTCCATGTTTATCTTTAAACATTCTGTGACACTCTGCATCTAATTTTAAAGTGTTATATTATAGGGGAAGTCAACATTCTGTGAGAGCTGAGAAAATGGAAAACCTGTTATTTGACATAAGAAATAGGATAATTGTTTCTTGGAACAGTTACAGTCTCCTTTGTTTAGTGCACTATAATATTTATTGTTATCTGTGTTATGGAATTCTGTGCTATACAAAAATACAAACCAGATTTTTTAAAGTAGCGTCTGTGGAACTTATACTGCATGCAGTCTAATAGATGAGGTGACAGGTTGATGTGAGAAGTATTGGAACAGATCTTATGACATAAGGCATGGCAAAAGGAAAATCCTAGAATCACAGAATGGTTTGAGTTGGAAGGCACCTTAAAGCTCCCCGAGCCCACCCCCCTGCCATGGGCAGGGACACCTCCCACCAGCCCAGGCTGCTCAAAGCCCTGTCCAACCTGACCTTGAACACTGCCAGGGAGGGGACATCCACAGCTTCCCTGGGCAGCCTGTGCCAGTGTCTCACCATCCTCACAGTAAAGAATTTCCTCCTAATATCCAGTCTAAATCTACCCTCTTACAGTTTAAAACCATTCCCCCTCGTTCTGTTGCTACCTGCCCTTGTAAAAAGTCCCTCCCCAGCTTTCCTGTAAGCCTCTTCAGGTACTGAAAGGCTGCAATAAGGTCTCCCCGCAGCCTTTTCTTCTCCAGGCTGAACTCTCTCAGCCTGCCCTTATAGGGGAGGTGCTCCAGCCCTCTGATCATCTTCATGGCCCTCCTCTGGACCCACTCCTACAGCTCCATGTCCTTATGTTGGGGGCCCTAGAACTGGACGCAGTGCTCCAGGTGGAGTCTCACATACAGCAGAGTAGAGGGGCAGAATCCCCTCCCTTGCCCTGCTGGCCATACTTCTTTTGATGCGACCCAGGATGCTGTTGGCCTTCTGGGCTGCAAGCACACATTGTTGGCTCATGTTGAGTTTTTTCTCAACCGACACCCCCATCCTTCTCCTCGGGACTGCTCTTGAGCCATTCTCTGCCCAGCCTGTATTTGTGCTTGGAATTGCCCCTACCCAGGTGCAGGACTTTGCACTTGGCGATGTTGAACTTCATGAGGTTGGCATCGGCCTGCTTTTCAAGCCTGCCCAGGTCCCTCTAGATGGCAACCCTTCCCTCTACCATCCAGCTTGGTGTCATCCGCAAACTGGCTGAGGGTGCCCTTGATTCCACTGACCATGTCGCTGACAAAGACGTTAAACAGCACTGGTCCCAATACTGATCCCAGAGGAATGCCACTTATCACTGGTCTCCATTTGTACATGAAGTCATTGACCACCACTCTTTGAGTGCAGCCTTCTAACCAATTCCTTGTCTGCTTAGTGGTCCATCTATCAAATCCATGTCTTAACAATTTAGAGATGAGGATGTTGTGTGGAACAGCGTCAAATGCTTTGCACAAGTCCAGGTAGGTGATGTCAGTTGCTCTTCCCTTATCCACTGATGCTGTAATCACAGAATCACAGTAATGACAGTAATCCTGTCATAGAAGGCCACCAAATTTGTCAGGCATGATTTACCCTTGGTGAAGCCAAGTTGGTTGTCACCAATCGCCACCTCATTTTTCATGTGCCCTAGCAGAGCCTGCAGGAGGATCTGCTCCGTGATCTGGCCAGGCACAGAGGTATGATTGGCTGGTTGGTAGTTCCCTGGGTCATCCTTTTTTCAAAGTGAGGGTTATGTTTCCCCTTTTCCAGTCAGTGGGGACTTCACTGGACTGCCATGACTTTTCAAATATAATGGAAAGCAGTTTAGCACCTTCATCTTTCAGTTCTCTCAGCACCTGTGGGTGTAGCCAATTGAGTCCCATGGGCTCGTGCACTTTCAGGTTCTTTAGATGGTCTTGAGCCCAGTCTTCACCGGTGATGGGCAGTTATTTCTTCTCCTTGTCCCTACCTTTTACTTCTGCAACTTGGGCAATGTGGTTAAAGCCCTTGACAGGGAAGACTGAGGCAAAAAAGTTGTTGAATACCTCAGCCCTATCCATGTCCCTCATGACCAGGTCTCCTGTTTCCTTTCTGAGAGGCCCCGCATCTTCTCTAGTCTTCCTTTTATCGCTGGCATACTTGTAGAATTTTTTGTTGCAACCTTTAATATCCTTGACTACTTTTAATTCTATCTGGGCTTTAGCTCTCCTAACATGGTCCCTGGCAGCTCGCACAGCTTATTTGTACACTTCCTAGGCTACCTGTCCTTGCTTCCACTCTCTGTAGGCTTTCTTTTTATGTGTAAGCGTGTCCAGGAGCTCCTTGTTCATCCACGCAGGTCTCCTGGCATTCTTGCTTGCCTTCCTCTTTATTGAGATACATTGCTCCTGAACCTGGAGAAGGTGATCCTTGGATATTGACCAGCTGTTTGGACCCCTCTCCCCTCCAGGGCTTTATCCCATGATACTTTACCAAGCAGGTCCCTGTAGAGAGCAAAGTCCACTCTCCTGAAGTCCAGGGTAGTGAGCTTGGTGCATACCCTCCTTGCTGCCCTAAGGATCTTGAATTCCACTGTTTTGTGGTCACTGCAGCCATGGCTGTCTTTGAGCTTCACGTTGGCTGCCAGCCCCTCCTTGTTGGTAATGTGCAAAAGTTTGGCGTAAATTTAAAAGTCAGCTCTCGTATATCTAGGAAATCAATTGCAATGGGAAGGTTAGAAAACATGGGAAATCAAAAGTATAAGAACTGCAAAGTGTAAGGGTATTCAGCTATATATTAATGAAAATGTATGCTTATTGAGGAAGGAGATTCATAAAGAGACATAAGACAGAGGCAATTTGAAGTAGTTCTGTATGTGTGCATGCAAGTGATGTTCTCTGCATCGCATCTTTGGTGTTAAGGAATGGCTAAGGCCGCTCTTTGGCAAATTGAAGTTGACTGGAGTCCTATGAGATGAGATGAGATGAGATGAGATGAGATGAGATGAGATGGCAGTAAAGGGGACTTTCATTATTAAAGTTTCTGCTAGCCCTGGAATTTCCAGAACAGGACTAGCTAGCAAGTACTGGGATAAAAATGATTCTTTGAATGGTTAATAAGGACTATGCAAATAATGATTTTTAACTGGTTTGAGTATGAATGCTGAAATCAAAGCATAACAAAAGAATGCATCTCTACTGACCCAGAAGATCTAGTCTCTAAAATTAAACAAAAAATTGAAGAGTAGCAATGTCTCTGATATTGGACAAGATAACAAAGAACTTCAAATCTGTCTTTTGAAAATAAATTTTAAGTTATTTGTTAAAACTACAGGACTGTAGAGAAGGACAGTTCACATTCTGTTTATTTTTCTTGATACTTTGTTTGAAGTTTGTAATCTGGCAAAGAAAAGAAAAGCTTTGGCTTTTGAGAGCTATTAGGATTGTGTATTCAAGGACACATTGGTGTGACTGAGTTAGTGGAAATTTGATCATTGAACAGGATGACTTAAAAAAACAAAAACAAAACAAAAAACCCACAATAAAAACCCAAACCAAAACAAAAACCACAAAAACCCCAAAACCTAAAAATACGGGTCTGTACATCTTTTCTTCTGACTCTTGCCAAACTGAACTTGGCATACATTCAATCTTTGATTTTTTTAAGGAAGTGCAGTTGATAGTGCTGTGGGTTTCAGCATTCTTTGAAGAAGAAAGAAGCCTCAAAAGAAGGGTACTTTCACTAGAACTCTTTCTCTGATTTTAGAGATTTTTCTCTCAGTTGTCAGAGAATGTTCAAAAGACAGCAGAAATTATTTTTAGGATGCAACTTGGATTGTAAATGTCAAAATAAATACATTGTTCTTTTTGTGATGATGTGAAAACCGCTTTTTGACATTTTCTTTTTGAACTATTTTCTTTTGACTGATAATAATTTCCATTGAATAATTGGAAAAATTAGGAACTGGGCTTGTTTTTCCTTAGAGGATTGGACCTTTAAGTCAGTTGTTTGAAGAAGTTTGCATTTTCTAACTTGCTGTGTTGCAGCTTTTAAGTGAAACTTCACAGGATTAACGTTTGCATAGAAACTTGCAGATCTATATTTCTGCAGAAATCCAGGTACTGGTGTCACAACTGTTTTAGGTTTCCATACAATCGATACTTAGGTTCATTTTAAGAGTGTGTTAGGAAGTCTTTGCATTCCTTTGTGGCTTTCTTTAGCTGCTGTTTCAAAAGAGGTCTGGCACCACTGGAGAAATCCCAGAGATGATTTCTCTGTCACTATGGCAACAGTGCATCCACTTTCTGTCCTGCATTTTCACAGCGCTTAAGAAATGTTGAAATAAGGCTTCCCTCTGCCCATCAGTGAGTTTAACAGATTTAGACTCGTTCTGTTCCTCAGAGATCATACAGAAGGGATGCAGGGTAGATAACATTTGAATGTGTAAATGGAAACCATACTCATCTCCCCAATATGTCTGTGGTCATTAATCCCAACTTAAATTTTATCGCCGTTGCATTTATTTAAATTGATGGCTTATAGAACAGAGATTTCAAATCCACAAGGGTGTTTCTGAACACCTTGCAATGATTATATGTTGGAAAATGTTACGAGCTTTTGAAGATATGGAAAAATGGGAGAGATTAGTATCATTTTGTTAAGAGATCCTTTCGGTAGCATTAGGATACAAATAAACTTTTTCGTTAGCACTCAGTCTTATTTGGAGCTTTAGAGGTAACAGCATAAGCAATGTATTGTATGTGGAAAACAGCTTTATGTCGGCTGCTTAGAAAAGCATTTTTCTATTTTAAATCTAAAATGTTTTTAAATTTATACTAGAGCTGTATAAATAACTTTCTTGGCTATCTTCAAAACTGAATACATAGAAAAACTTTTAGAAAATATTTAATTATTTCTTTAAGATTAAGTGATTCTTTTTAAGATTTCCAAGACTTAGCTATGATGTCTGGGAAGCAATCAGAAGCTTATTTTTTTGTCTTACCATCAAAATGAGTCACAAAAGATAAGTACTTAAGTAATAAGTATGAAATGTCACTGAAATAAACAAGGCAGTAGTGATATCACTGTCCTGCTATTGTGGAGCACATAGTGAGATTGTTCCGAGTGTATTAGCTAAGGGTTCTGAAAACAACATAGCTGATGATTCAACTGCTATGACTTTGGAAGGTTTTGTTATATTTCAATGCACTGCTAATAAGGAGAATTGCTGGAAGTTCACTCATTTTTAGAACAGAAACCAGCGGGACATGAATGCTTATAAATAACTAAGTGTCACCTGCTGATATGACACCATTAGCCTGTAGTCTGTCATAATCTGAGAGTTCAAGTCTTGTGTTGATTTTTTTTTTCAGCGACTGAAAATAGTCCGTTTACATGTCGTAGGCATGAGCTGCTTTAACAGCATGTCATCGTGTCCATTTTTGCTCATCTTTATTAATCCTAAAGTGGATTTCAAAAATACTGATAGTAAAACTGCTTGAGAAAACCACGAAGACAGCAGTCAGTGTCTCAAGCATTACAGTTGAAGTCTAGGCACTGGGTTGGACTTTGTGGGTAGTGATACTTTCCTGTGTACAAAAAAAAAAGGTTTCTTCACAGAACCTTTCAAGCAATTATTCATTACTTAGTATATTGCGAGCTAAGTAGTAATTTTAGCTTAGCATTAGGGGAACATGCTTTCTGTTCAATTTTATTTAACGTTTCATGGGTTGGGTTTTTTTTTTAAAGGTATATTATCATAATTAACAGTCCCTGAGCATTGATGAAATTTACTGCATTTTATTCTTGTCTGTAGGAACTTATCGTGGCACGCTGCTTTGGAAACTCAAAGTAAAATGTATATACCACACTCTCATGCGTTTATAGATTTAAATAATGACCTCACTGCTGGTAAGTCGTAAAAGTATTAAATGACTTGCTAAAAATATTTGTCACTAAGTATACAGTATAATGTATTGTAATGTCCTTCTAATATTTAGTAAATTTTGTTGATGGTTGTAAAGACTTGATTCGGAGATGTTGTATTTGGTAATCATATGACTTTGCTACTTCTCATTTTTTTTAAATTTATTTTTTAAAATATCTTTGTATCTTGAAAATTCTGGGGTTTAATAAATAACTGCCAAACTTAATAACTTATTAAGGTTTTCTATTTTAGTGGGCATGGTGGTGTTAGGTTAATGATTGGAGTTGATGATCTTAAAGGTCTCTTCCAACCTTAATGATTCTGTGATGCTTGTTCTGAATAATTTTGTGTTCACCATTAAAGTATCATTTTTTGTACTTCAGGATGATGCATTGGAAGCAGGGCTGCATTTTCTTTATCTTGAGTCTGAAAACAGTTAAAATAGTTCATTCAGAAGAGTGTTTTCAAGACTGGACTTAAAATTTGTTTCTTGAAGACCTCACTATGACTTCATTCTATTTTGTTGTAGTTAATTCTATTGCTGGTTGAGTGTGAGCATGTGAGACTTTATTCTTCTATTACTATATGAGCAATCCTGCGACCTATTTATGTATCAGTGTTCACAAATGAGTACTAGAGACAACTTTTCTTGTAGTAGATAAACTCTTCTTCCTTTGGTGGTGGTGGTGTTTTGTTTGCTTTGTTTTTTTGTTGTTATTGTTTATTTTTCTTAAATATGCAAAGCAATTTAGCCTTCAGTTACCACAGTAAATCTATTTATCACTTATATATCTGCTTCCTACCTCAAGCATGTTTAAATATTTTGCTAAGCCTAATTTCTTCACTTACTAAATGAATTCTAAAATGCTTTATCTTCTGCTAGATGTTCAATGTACATCAATTCATATAGGATTATTTTGGAAAGAGAGCTTGTTTTTCTCCCATTTAGTAGCATGGAATGAGAGAGGAAAGAGTCCACTAATCTAATTAAGATGCTTAAAAATGTGGAGGATTAAGTTAATTGCTTTAGTGTGTAGTCAAACCTTAATACTCAGTTCTGGCACATTGCTGCACGAAGCTGTCAAGTGGAAATTCCAACTGGAAAATCAAATGTATGGTTGCTTACCATAATCAGTGTCATGTAATAACCAATTCTAATGCGGTTAGTTCGGTAAATCATTTGGAATTTTGTTTTAGTGGCACGGGCAGCATAGGTGAGCATTCCAGGTAGCGTTTTAAGATCAGTATACTGAAATCTAAACTTAGAGGTAGCTAAAGGTAGGAAGTCTAAGTTACTTGTGTAGCTCAATCACAGACTGATCAATTTTTCAAGAGAACACAAAGGGTTTTTTTGTGACAGCTGACAACAGCCTAAAGAGTGTCTAGAGAGTTCCATTTAGTAAAAGTGATATATGGAAGTTCCTCTGTTAAATAGAAATTAAAATCAGGATCTTTGTGTGGGGAGTGCCAGGAGCTTTTATAGATTCACATCTATTTTCGTATCTCAAGATGAGAATAGAAGCTTCTACGAAGCACTCCCCATAGAAAGATCCTGACTTTTATTTGCTTGTAACAGCAAGGATATAACACCTCAGGCTGAAATATGTGTTGTGTTACAGCAACCAAGGAATATAATTCAGTCTGAGAAGAAAAGTGGAGGAAATATTACCATAGAATTATTTTCTTTAAAATAGTGTTTTGCTTCTAAGATGAGAATGGCGGCTTTTTTGCTGTCCCTATGAAAATTGGACCAACTGTGAACAAGACATATGTTGCTGAAAAATAATACCTTATGGGTGATATCTGATATTTCATGAGTGTGTTATTCCAAGACTACCTGCTGCCAAAATGAAAACTCGCCGATCGTCTGGTGCTGTCTGCACATTCGTGGCAGTTCCCTCGCACCAGCTATAGACACTGCTCAGGAACCGAGGTTGAGGGGGAAGCACAATTCATTTTCACTTGAGTTATTCCGCTGATCCAACTCGCCATGCAGCTTCAGGAGCCCATGTAAGCACAGAGAGAAGGTAGACTCTTATTTTAGTAGCAGTTGTAACCTGCCCTTAACCGAGCGTGAAATTGCGCCTTGAGTCTCATTGTGCCTCTTCCAAAAAATACCTGTTTGGTGTTCTCCTTTAGTTTGTATTGGTCTGCACTGAGTTGGGCAAGTGTCTCATAGAAGACTTCGCAGAAGACAGCTCCGTGCTCCTCCTGTTTGTTCAGCTCCTTTCCTCTTTACAGAGCTGGGGCAGCGCAGCAGAGTGCGGTTCAGACTGTGTCATTTCCCAGTGAAGTCAGGGAAGCCTGGTACTTACTGGCTGGTTCAGGTAGAGCTAGTGAAGAGGAGAGGATTCTTGGGACTCAGTGTTTACCCACACTACCATTCTTGAGTTGGAACAAAACCTCATTAAGAGTAGGTCTTGGTACACATTTAAATAATATTACTTAGGAGAGAGACATTAACAAAGGTACAGGGGAATAGTCTGCATGCTGAAGTTTGATCCTGCTATGCTACTTTTTGACTGAAAAAAAATCAGGGTATTTACTTAAAGGTGATGGTACTATTCATGAATATGAATATATAGTTGCACCTAAAATGGATGCCCTGAGTTTTGCGTACAAATAAGCAAACCTGCAGAATACACCATCTTGTTGGTTTTGGGGTTTTGAAAGAGCTTTTTCTAATATTGTGCAGTCTTTTGGGGCTCTTTATATTCTGTAACAGATGCAGCCAATTCAGTGATTTTTAGCTTGGCTATTTTTGGCAACTGTGTCACTATAAACAGTTTAGGAGATTTAAAGTGTGCTTGACATTAAACAAAAAAATAAAAAGAAAGAAAGAAAGAAAAAAATCCTCTCTGGGCTGAGAATCTTTTTGCTGGTTTATCCCCTAACCCATTTTCAACCTGCCAATATTAAAACCCTCAAAACAGAGCTTTTAATTGGCACACTTCTACTCTCTGGGTAAAAGGAAGTTGAATTGTTATGCTCTCATTATATGAGAACGTGTTCATAAAGATGTTTTTAATCCCTAACAATGCTTCATGAAAGGCTAACTGTGTAAGGATTTTATAATCCAAAAATCCACTAACCAGAACAAAGATAATACTAATCTCTCTTGGTGCGATATAAACTAGGCTGTTTCAGATAGTGCTGCTGCTGCTTTTAAATGAAGCATCATCATGCAGGAGTCTCAGCTTCTTATAATTTTTAATTCTGTGAGTAATTTTGAGTTAGATCAGGAATTTTTTATAATCCATGCAAAAATTTGCAGTCTAAAACTTTTACCAAAGGATCTACGTGTGCTTTATTGATAAAGTAAACAGAAAATTCTCAAGTGTCTTCTGCATGTGTGTGAAGCATGTGTTGCTCCAGGAAGAGTACCTGGTTCACAGAATGGCTGAGACTGTAAGGGATGTCTGGAAATGGTCTGGTCATCCTACCTACCATCAGTGTCACTGTTTGTACATGCACTGAGATAGACTGAAAGATCATGTCATGATAGGACGGGGAATAATGGCTTTAGACTGGATATTAGGAAAGAATTCTTTACTGTGAGGGTGGTGAGACACTGGCACAGGTTGCCCAGGGAAGCTGTGGATGCCCCCTCCCTGGAAGTGTTCAAGGCCAGGTTGGACAGGGCTTTGAGCAACCTGGGCTGGTGGAGGTGTCCCTGCCATGGCAGGGGTTGGACTGGGGGAGCTTTGAGGTCCTCTCCAACCCAAACCATGCTATGGTTCTGTGAGGAAAAGATGTGGTGACCCTTGTCAGAATAGAGCTACTGGGTGTCTAGGAATACGCACTCACACTTGTCATTATTTCTTTTTAACAACTAGCTTAAGAAAATAATCTTGAAGCTAATAATAATAGACTTGTCTGAACAGATTAACTTCAGGTATTTTATAGAGCATGACAGCTCAGGTGAGTGGTTTCAGAGCAGGTGCCTCAAGTATGAGACTGGTTTTAAAAAAGTCACATCCTCAAACTGAAAGATTTATATCACATGATTTAAGAAAAGTAGTAGTTGAGTGGGATTTTAACTCTTGACTTACAGCGAAGGAAGTAAAAACTAATTTTTCTTTGTGTTAATTCACTCGAGAGTAAATAGGAACTTGGGTCTTTCTCAGAAATGTGTTTCAGATGCGTTAGTGAAGAGATGGAGATAATACTGTTTAATTGAATAAACACTATTCCCAATATGGTCATTATGCTGAAGACTTTGCAATTGCAATACATTAACCAAACCATGGAGAAAAAGTGTTATAGCTGGAAACTGAGGCCAAGACAAGTAAAAGAACTTGATAAAGACCACCTAGAAATGATGTGGAGTTGGGCCCAGCCACTACAGATCATCTGTTTGAAGCTAGACAATAGACAAACGTATTTTGTTTATGCCATTTTTGATTTGCATCACAGTCTGCATTTTCAGATGAATACTTTGGACTAAGCTGAAGTTTAAATTTAGCATGGATCACTAGGTGCACACTGATTAGACTTAACAGAAACTCACATAGGTGTATCAAGAGTGCTTTATCTAAAGTTGAGATTTTTATGATAGCAATTATTTTGCTATATATCCTTTGTTTTTCCTAATTAGTTAACATGTTTCTAATTAAAACATATTACATTGTCAGATATTCAGTTAAGTCTAATGCTGTCTTTCTGAGCCAAAATTTTAATACTTAATTGCTTGGGTGGTGGGGGGGGGGTGGGGGAGAGTTATTAGTAAACAATAGAATTGTATGCACTTAAAGTTACAAGTCTTCTACCAAGAAATCAGACCATGGCCCTGCACATGTTTTTAAAATGCTCAAATGTATGAGAAAAACTGCCTTTGGACTCTGAATCATACTGTGACTTCATGCTGTACATCTGTTAATGTATCCTTGAATGCTATGAAAAACAGCTAATGTATTAAATATTCTGTGCCTTGTTTGGCTGTGTGAGTCCAAGGTTTGGAAATACTGCTTTTACAACCTGTCTT